TAACAGCTGATTAAAAGTTTAAGTTTAGCTATTTGCAAAAAAAGTGGGCAAAGGAATGATGCTTTTCAAAATTAGCCCATGAAAGCAAGCGCAGATTACAAGTAATAAAAAGAGATCAAGTTCATCAGAACTTGAGAAAATCTGCTCACCTGTGCAGTTATATATATAGTTATATATATATGCCTAGAAGAAAGAGAATAGAAAAGGCTAAGCAGAAAAATGGGTAATCATTTACCCTACAAGATGAAATCGTATAGTGATTAGCTAATACGTGAAGTTGAGTGAGTCGTGGAGTCAGATGAAAAAGACTAGAATGATGAGGCTACCTGATCGACAAGAAGGGCGAGGTGAAGCAAAGCACTCTCTGTTTTTCCAGTGGAGGCAGAAGATACTGCAGCTGCCTGTTGAGCCTGACCGGCCAAGTTACTGGCCCGCAGATGCTGTACAAACTGCTGGGTTGCTGCCGGAGTGGATGGGCTCACTGGAGGTAGGATGGAGACGCCATTCGTCTCCCAATTATAGGCAACACGGACTAGTCGACCAACTGGGGGTAGCTAGGGTTTAGAGAGGCCAGAGAGTAGGAAATGTAGAAATAATAACGGTTTACTTTCAGAATTAAAGCTATGTTAAGTAAAGATACAATAGACTGTCTCTGGAATAATTTAACTTAGGTAAATATTATTTATGGAGATAATTAATCGTGAAATATTAATGAAATGAGCAAAAATCTCAGTATAGATGAGAGTTAGACAAAATAATGTAAAGGAAGAAGGCTAGAAAAGAAAGCAAAAGGTTGGTTATGTCACTAGAGGACGGTTGGAAGACAGTTATCCAGACGCAATGGGTCTGATAGATTTTACGGCTAATAAAGCGCTCTCCGTTAGTCTCTACAACTGTGGTGAATCATAAGAATAATAATTATACAAGTCCGACAGATACAGGGACATTATTGAGTAGATATGAAGCAACAATAAAAATAAGAAGTGAATATGAGAGTAACGAAATAGCCATCCAATAGCTATATGCTGTACACATTCCTGCCACAATGAACAAAGGTGTATTCACAAAAGCCAACAAAAATAGTTGTGTATAATTTCATTTTGCATGAAAAGGCATGATAAGGAAAGGAAGATCTCACCAGAAGATGACAGCGGATTTTCGTCGCACTGCATCAGATTGACGCAGCCCACGAAACATCCTCCCTTGCTTCGGGCGAAAACGGGTTAAGCCTTCATTCGTCATGTGACTAACA